GAATTTATTATTTTCTTCCATTTGTGATAATATTATATTGAATGCAAATTTTGATGCATTTATTTCCATAAAAATTACCTCAAAGAAGTCAATGAAATACAAGATTAATACAAAAATAAATTCTTTTTTTAAAATATCAAATAATTTTGAAGCTTCTTTATTCCACTCAAATTTTTCTTTACATATCAAATGTGTTTGTAGAGCTATAGCTTAAAAAAAGTTCTTCATGAAGATCAAATAATACTTAGCAAACCTTAAAAAGTATTGCATATGTCTTAATATTTTTGAAATCTTCCAATTTATGATAATTTGGACCTTCTAAGGATCCATCATAAGGCCTTTGTTGGAAATGATATATCTTAAGAAGTCAACTTAAGTAATGTGGAATATACACTTTACTATCTTGGCATATAATCTTATATCTCTAAGTTTTTGTAGTACATGACAAATATGAAATTCATATTCTTTTATATTCTTAGAATAGATTAGAATATCATTTAAATAGCAAACAATAAAATTATCAAGAAACTCACAAAAAATGTCATTTATAAGATATTAAAAAGTAGCTAGTATGTTTATGAATCCAAAAGATATGATATTATATTCAAAACATCCATACTTAGTTTTGAAAGAAGTCTTCCATTCATTCATTCATTTTTTATATATTTTTTTTTATACAAATAAGATTGTATGTTCTTTATAGATTTATTTTTAAATAGATCTTTGCTTGATTTAGTTGGTAAAGAAATTCTAAAATTAGATATAAAGAGTACCTATTTTTGATGGTAATCTTATTAAGTCCTCAATAGCCTATACACATCCTTAGAGGTAGAACTTTTTTCTTTATAAACAAGATAAGAGCTCTTGCTAGAGATTTTCAATAGCATATGAAGTTCTTGATTAAGTTTTCATTAGAATGCTTCTTAAGTGCAACTAACTTATTTTGCAATCAATTGTAGATTGGTCCAAATGACAATTGAACTTCTTCTTAAAGATTAATCAAACAATTATAGGATCAATGCTCTAAAAGAATATATATATATATATATATATATATATTTAAAAACGTCTTGAAAATCTTAATATTGACTAATAATGTTTCTTAATATCTTTTTATAATCAAAAATAGACATGGTATATATATAATAAAAAATGATCTTTTTTTATTGCATGTATAAAACTTCTTACATTTACTAGTAGCAATTTGGATGAGTTAGAATTATGTATTTCTATGTGACAAATAAAATTTTGAATTAAACTACAAGAAAAGTTAAGATTATAAGAAATCCAATCTATTTGAGATTTATATTTTTTTAAACCATGATTATTTAAAAATAAATAGATTAAAAAAAGATCTTATTACATTAAATATTACTATACTATTATGATCTTTGATTGCTACATCTAAAGAAATAATGGATAACATCTCCAAAAGACAACAAAAAATCATTTATTATGTCTATGTGTAGGGATTTAGTTCTCTTAATTAAAAATATTTCTTATTTTTTGACAAAGTCTTCATTTATAAAACAAGCTGAGGCTCCTAAATTTAATAAGATAAAGGCTTTGTAATTTTTAGGTCCTAAACATACATCTATTTTAAAATAAGTTGAAAAAATTCCAAAGAGAATATAACTTTTATCAGATATTATACATGATTTTAGCTGAATAATTTATATTGTAGTTGCAAAAATTCTTTTTTTGGCAAATTATCTCTTCTAGCAATCTTTCTTCTCATTTTATAATTGCATTGTTTCTTTGGATAATAGTAAGCAATGTGTTTAGCTTTTCTATAATATAGGCAAAAATTCTCTTGATGATGTAAAATCTTTTCTTATTCAATGAGAGGTTTAAAATGTACCATATTAATTTGCATTAGTTTTGAGCTTAATGAATAAATTTTTTAAAACTTTAGAGCTATTGTCATTATTTGACTTGTTCCTATCTAATCAAATATTTATTCATGACATCTTTTAAATAGTCAATTATTGCATGTAATGGCTTGAGTTATAAATTATTCTAAAAAATCTACTTTTAATATTGTCAACAACAAATCTTTGATGTTATCCTTTAATCTATATAAAAATTGATTAATTAACGCTTTGTTATTTCAATCTATATCACAAGTATAGAATTTAATAGCATATATGGTGGTTGATTGTGATTTTTATTGTAAAAATAAGAACTTGGTCTCTACTACTTTTTTTAATCACTTTTTTCAAATGTGTTCATAAATTTTTCTAAGAATGAATTCAAATCATAAAAGAACCATAAATATTTTTTTATTAAAGGTGCAAACTAAGAGTGAACACATCTAAATAAAAGTGTAGATATGAATCCAACTTGAATGAATCCATTAGGATATTAGAAAAGATGCAATTTTATATAAAGCTTGATTAGTTGCAAAAATTGTCAAAATTTTAATCTTGTTCTATCAAACTTCTAGGCATACTAATCCTTGCTTCTCTTGTGCTTCTAGAAGGAAAGCTTCTTAAATTTAGAATTAAAGTTGATGTATTTGTTTCCTTCAGTTGCACAACTACTTCGCATAGACTCTGAACTTCTTCTATAGGTATAAAAATAATGCTTCCATAGTTGATATTAGTGATGAATGAAATTTTCACCCCAAGAACATCGACAAGTTTGTGAAGATCTGCAATAGTTGTAAATCTATTTTGACTTCTGCTTAGTGTGGCATCTATGATTTTTTTCTTTTCTTTTTAAATAATTTAATAAATTCATAAATCAACTTTTAAGGAAGATAATGGACAACTTCTAATATCAAATAAGATTTTTTTTTAAAAAAGGTAATCTACTCTCTTTAAGAAAAAAATTTAATGTTAAAAAAATAAATATTAGTTCAAGGCACATAATTTATAACTTTTAAAATACAAAAATAAAAGTAAGATAATTAATTTTCTTCTAAAAACAAGGCAAGAACAATGAGTTAGGATTCTTGTGAATCTATCAAGGATAAAAATTCAAACAAAATACATAAATAAGTAAAAAATAAATAAAAAAGAAATGAAAAATTAAAAATAAGAAAATAAAAACTTAAAATAGATATTATTAAAAGCTAAAAAATTAGAAACTCTTAAAATTAGACTAAAAATAAAAAAATACTTAATAAAAATATAAAAAATATCATTCTTGTCTCTATGTATATTTTCTATCTAAAAGCTATATGGCAACATTTTATAAAACCTCCAACATATGTTTAATTTGTAAGATACATGTCTTAACTTACAATACAAGTTTTTTTTATATGTATGCCATATTAATAACTTATATTACAAACTATCAATACATATGACATGTAATTAATTTGTTGACCAAGTTTTTAACCTACTAATCACTTATAGACATGTATAAAGGTGAAACCACATCTATGAAACTTTTAGAAAAATTATCCAAAAAATATTATCAAATTAATCTATATTTACTTATTTCTACTTATTTATCTTATTTAAATAATTATAAATATATTCATAATACAAATTCAATGTCAAGCAATATTAAATAACTAATATCTATTTTTTTTAAATTATTTGATATATTTTCTAAAAATAGTAAATATATATGACATGTTTCTCATATATTCTATTTGATATTTTTAGTAGCACAATATCAAGGCTAAAATAATTCTTGATTAATAATCCCTTCAAATGCAAAAATACCAATTATAACAACATAAATACTATTAGCAATAAGTATATAAACTAAATAAACTATAAACAATTCCTATAAGATATAAGATATATGGCAATAAATTCAAAATGTTACAAGAAAAATGAAAAATATTCAAATTAATATTCAAATTAACTATCTCAAATGTCTTATTGTGAAAAATATAAATGTAGAGAAAAAAATAATAATAATTATCAATATGAAGCAATAAATCTTCAAAGGTTAAAAAAATTCTTTTAATAAAAACACGTAATCAACAACTTTATGAGGATCAAAAATATAAACCTTTACATGTTCTAATTTTTCTAACAAGAAAACACCTACTTTCTTTGCTCCCCCTTCTATGATGAACCTTTTTTGGTTTTATAAAAGAAACATAGTGAAAATCAGTAGAACCTACATTATAATAAGTATGATAATATGGTTAACTATAACAAAGAATTATTAGACTAGCATTAGTGTAAAGTAATAAATACTAATAAATACTAACATATAAGAACACAATATTGAAAAAATGGAGATAATGGAATTTTAGAAAATACAAATACTTTAAAAGATGCTATGACATTTATCAAGTTAGTCAAGGATGCTTAAAAAATTCCAAAATAGTTGTAGCAAATGCTCTTTAATAAACATACCTTTAGATTGCAGGCCAAGATTTAGTTGTCCTCCAAAATTGCCACCAACCCAATTGTAGGAGGATACCATGGTTCATTATTACTTTGACTATCACTACAGAGTAAAAAAAAAAAAAACCATGGTAATTAAGAATATATCTCCACAAATTGTAAACCATTCACAATGCTCAAGTCACACAAAAGAGTCCTAAAGACCTTACAAGGTGGAAGATTTATGCATGCAACACAAGGCTCCAGAGGACTAACCTCCTCAATCAAATTGAAATCAACATCCACATCACAAGCGCAGAATACACTCCATCCATATTTTAAACCATAAAAAATTTCAAATCCTTTTCCAAGTGCCAATGATGCTACAACCCCACTATACAACCCACATTTGTGGTCTACATTCAAAAATTTCAACCAACTAAAAAAACTGACACTACAAGCGCCCTCGCACCACACTACTGCAAAAAGATTCAAGGCAACAAGGGTAGAACAGGCGTTACTTATCTTTGAAATCACAGAGCCTATCCTTCCCTGTTTTACTTCCCTCCCTGAGATTGATATCCTCCGGCCTCTTCTTATCTCAATCACGATACCTCGGTAGATTGGCGCCCTCGCCAGTTTCTCCTCTCAAAACAAATCCATATTATACAAGCGTCAAATTGCGAATTCAAGCTTAGAAGTTCCAGTAGGTATCCATTCATAAGAGTGTACTAATGAATTCAGTAATTAGTCATGACTAACAAATCATTGGTTACCACCTCAAGGACCAGTATGTAGAAACTCGCAAAAACTATAAACAACAAACTGCAAGAATTGGCAGTACAACCCTCGCAGATTAAGCATAGCTATTACCTCATTCACAGAAACATGGCAACAAAATTTGCGCTGTTTCCGCTTCTCGCCATCGACCTCAGCATCAGCACCATCCTTAGCACGCCTCGGACGATGAAGGAGTGAATCCAGATTGGCCTTTGGCTATTTTTCAAACACATCCTCATTACGCCTCGGACGACTACAAGTTCAACCAAACTTTAATCAACGATGCGAGAGGGGAGTTGGGAGGCGAGGCTGGAAGACTAAATCCAGATTCGCGTCTAGCTCTTTTTTAATACAAAGACTAGGGTTTTTCAAGGGTGGCAAGAGATAGCACGACCGCCAACATTGTATCAATGAAGTAGATTAGGATAATGATGAAAGTGGTTGATTTTCAGTAGTAGATAAATGGATCCAGTAGTCATTTTTTTTTTCATGTTAGGATGAGTCACCGATTTAACAAAAACTTGGATCACTTACGAAGCACCATAGTTCAATCTTAACAAATTATGTTTGATTAAATTCTCTATTTATTTTATGGGATTTTTCATGTAGATCAATGTGGTAAAAAACACCAATGCATAAAGTTTTACGAAAATTTCAAAAATTTGTCTATCTTCTTTTTTTCCTTTATTTATTTTGGCATTGGAATAGACTCTCATTCTAAAATATTGAGAATTAGGAGTAATGTGCAATAATTCAGTATTTTAGTATAAATGAGCATGGAAGCTAACCATGTACAATGTTTAAAAGAATGTACATGGTATAGAAAAGCTCAAATATTCACAATAGTAGATAATTGACCCAAAGAATAACAATAAATAAATAAATAAAAAGAGTATTTTACTTACATAAAAAAAATAAAAAAAATAAAAAAAATGATGAATCTTAAGAAAATTGGACATACAACACATAAATATAAGTTAAATGCTACTTATATTAGATATAAATTAATAAGTAGTGATTATTATTATTATTATATGTTACATGAAGATAATAAAATAAAATAATGTATTCAATTGATATTACATCCAATCCATAGAAGTTAATAAATTTTAGGTTGAAAATGCAAACATTGAAGGCATGACCCACTGAACAAAATTTTGCCACAGAAAAGTATTCATACAAATAATAATATGTTATACTCATTTGAATTTAGAATAATTATTTAATCTTATTGGTAGATATTTTAGAATAAATCATGTACATATATAAAACATAATAATTAAATAATGGTTAAAAATTCTTATTTTAAATTTAATTGTAACAAAATAAAAATGACATCTAAAAATATTTACAATCAAGTCTTTATTTTAAAAATAAAGCTTTGTAAGCATACACTATATTTTTAATCTAGTATTAGACAATTGAAATAAGTATTAAAAATTTGGATCAATTTCATTTTGCAATTACTTTTAGTAATTAAATGAAGCAAATAAATAAGACATCTCATACTATAATTAAGTCGTATTGAAAGATTTATGTGTAAAGTTATAAAGTGAAGAAGAAAATAATAATGTTTGTGTACATGTTCATTGATAAAAATTAAAGGAAAAAAGAAAAGAAAAGAAGAAATGTTCAGATAAATTCTGAATGACCAATTGAAGTATTCAATAAGGTTGAAGAAAATAGTAATTTTAAGAGAAACTAGCATTCTTAAATCTTTAGTGAATGTTATCAAAAGGGTAAATGTAATCGATACCGCTGAAATATGTTGGAATATCAAGAATATCCCTGTGTTTTTTATAATAGCAAATCTACCCCTAAATTTTCTCATAATATCACAACTTTTTTAAGTGTAATTGGGTCCAAACTGCTTGCCGCGGCGGGCCCTAATCCGCACTTTCGGCGTAGATTAGGACGCGGCCATTTTCAGCATTCGGCTTTCATGTATGTGGGACTCGGGGTTGAATCAGCACAGCAGAACATAATTCGACGCCACTGGGTGTGTGAGTCTCGACCCCTGCTCGCCACACGCCATGGCTCTCGTGTTGTTGAGCTCTTCGCAGATGCGATGCTTATGGTCGTGGCATCGCTTTGCATTGTCTCCACTGTTAGAGGTGAGTCGCGGCTGACAGAGTCCTTGTGGGGCTAGATCGAAGTTAAAAGCGAATTTTCCAAAAACAGCGAGTAACCCACGAAGAACTCCAATCAAGGAAATAATTTCAGCCGCGACCGGATGGCGTACACTTGAAATTAATCAAAAAGAACCCTTGGTCACTGGCACCGAAGGACAAATAGATGGGATCTCTTGCCCACCCAATTGAGGAAGATTGTAAGGTACTGGTTTTGATTACGTGCGTATCATCCTCCGAGGCTTCTCCCTCTCTCAATTTCTTGCTGCTAGATTTTGTGTCCGAGTTTCCAACCCTACATTGCCGACAACAACCTCAATCGGGCAGGACCCTATCCCGAGCAGTTGTTCCTGAGTTGCTTGTTTGCTGGATTTGCATCGATGAACATCGTGAAAGGCTGATACCCACGTTGTGAAAATGAACAATGCGTGCACAAGAATAATTCTTGCGCTGCAATGGTAAGATGATGTACGCGCCAGCCCCACTCTGTACCAGTCTTTATGTCCACTGTCGTCTACTCTATCAACAATCCCTGTTAACGTCACAGCTATTTTATCGAATCTAGTTTTCATAAGCAACCGTGGCTTTACTTTACTAGGCACAAGGAACATTTCACTCTAATTGAAGCTCTTTCAACAAATTACAATTCCCGAGACTCAACAATTGCTTCGTTGTGCGCCAAAATTCCAGAATAGAAGCACGCACTGAAGTTTGAGCCTAATCCAGTTGCATGGTCGAATATTGTTTGAAGGTGCTTTTAAAAGCCATTATCCCATCTGCGAAGAGCTCAACAAAACGAGAGCCATGGCGCGTGGCGAGCAGGGGTCGAGACTCACACACCCAGTGTGTCGAATTATGTTCTGCTGTGCTGATTCAACCCCGAATCCCCCATACATGAATGCCAAATGCCGAAAATGGCCGCGCCTTAATCTACGCCGAAAGTGCGGAATAGAGCCCGCCGCGGCAAGCAGGTTGGACCCAGTTTGGGCCCAATTACACTTAAAAGAGGGGGGTAGATTTCATATTATCACGCTCAAGCTCAAGGTATATTATGAGAAAATTGAGGGGTAGATTTGCCATTATGAAGAATACAGGGGTATTCTCGATATTTCAACGTATTTCAGCAGTATACATGATGTTTTCTCTTATCAAAACTCAGTATGTATTGATTAAGAAACATTATTCTAGAAATAAAAATAGGCAATGGTGTTTTTCACAGATGGTTCAATCTATATCAAGGCAATTTATGACCATATTCATGACAGTGTATGACTGGTTCTGACCGAAATAATACTTCAACGATTTGATCACTACACTTATCAAGGCAAACAAAGCTAACAACAGCATTTCACATACAATGAATCTAAAATCCCCTCCCACAAGCGAAAAATGAAAGTAAAAATAAAAATAAATACTGTGAACCACACAGTCAAATTGCAAATTAGAAAGTCAAAATTTACAAATGGTGGATTGAGAATATAATTCTTAAAGTTCATCCTCAACTCTAGTGTAAAATAGAGCCTTCACCAGCTCCAATTTTTCTGTCATTTGAAGTGGGCTCATGGGAGGAGTGGAGTTCGCTTCATAGGTTCCAATTGCTCCTCTTACCATCTTTCTGAAAACACGCCGGAATAGAACTTCTCATCTCTTCGCAAAACTCTCAAAAACAAATGTTTTTGTATCAACACGCATGTGCTGAACCTAAGTCTATACAAGAGACATAACCTCAAGGAGAGAATAACTGAGTGGATCCTGCACATTCTAGAAGCTATGGGAAGGGCAGTAAGGTTAATTACGAGTTCGTAGCCATCCACACACAACTTCAACTACCAGGGGCCACGGCTAGCGACCTGCACTGGGAAGGTCTACTTTTACCAATCTTTTGGGAGTGTTGTGCTTTCGTACAAATGCTTTCTCATAACAGATATGAGTCGTTCTGTACAGTAACATCAGAATGTATACATTTCTACTGGTTAGTTTTGTACAAGCCTTCCAAAGGAAGCACTGTGCGGGCCATGGCCTCCAGGCAGGCCGCAACCGATTCCAAGTTCCGCAACCAAGCAACTTCACCCCTGGCAATGGCACTGCGCAGGAGACTTACAGCTTCCTTGGAAGAATTGTTACACCTGGATATTTCTTTGTCAATCGCTTCCAATTCCTTCTGTAATTCCTGGATCTCTGCCACTGTGTGCATGTTAGCGAGGATGTATTTCATGTTCGAGGCAACTCGTAAGAACTGGTCACGTTTGTCCCGCGCCAAGCCTTCTTCTGAATGGCAGAGTAAATTGTCGAGCAGAGCCTTCATATACAAATACAAGTTAGGACATAAGTTTAGGATATGTTGGAGCAGAAAAAAACCTAGAGAAACAAGTAAGGTGACATCACACACAGCCAATGGAATGTGGTGGAAGTGCATACTCGAAAGATTCAGCTATTCTTATATCATACTAACGTCATTTTAGAGAACAATATTACTACACAGGATTCCTGCTTTGGTGCAAGCTGCGTTATTTTTAAGAATCCATCGAAATCTGTCGCAGACGAATTACTACATAGACGACATCCGATCGCTTGAAAATCACATATGCACAAACCCAACCACCGAGATGCGACAACCCACGGTACATCTCACACGAGCCCACTACTTTGACCACCATATATCGTGTCACTCGAAATCAGCAACTCACGGTAATGCAATTTCGCTACTACTCAGAGGGGGCAAAGACGCCAGAGATCAATTACCTCCAACCTCTCGATGTCCCTCTCTGAAGGCAGAGAATGTAAGTGATTCTCAGCGTCATTTATCCAAGACTGTATCGCTTTCACTTCCCGCTCTGCCGCATCAGTTATCTTCAACATAATCTCGAGGCTTTGGCGAACCCTATCTTCACAGAACCGAGTCTCGTTGGTTTGTGCTGGTGACGTGAAACTTTTGAGAAAATTGGCCATGCAGAGACCAAGCTCTCCCTGACCGCGTTTCTGAGGATGAAGAGAAGGGGTAAGTGCTTGAGTAATCGCAGCTACAGCAAGTTGCCTTTTGGTATTCATTTTTTTAGTGGGAGGTTGGGAGATGGCCCTTGAAGAATGAAAATTCCTCGACTGCCCAATGTAAGCCTCTGCCTGCAATGGAGTATACCAGCTAGATCTTGGACCGCTTCCCTGCAAGCGAGAACATAAACGTTTCAATCCGTCATTGCAAAATTATTCCTGTACATTCCTAGTTTCGATAATTTCAAATTGGACACGTCAGAGAAAGTTGGATTTCAAACATTGAAGTGCAATATAAAAAGCAGTAGAGTGGGAATGACCATTATTCCACACAAATCAAAGAATTACTTACACAGTCGTAGATCCATAGATGAAAATTGCTAGCCTGCCAATGCAAGAGAGAAGCTAAAAGAGACGAAAAAGTTGAAATCAAGACCACGAGATGCCAATTTTCTCACCTTTCGATTGTACATTGTAGCTGACTGTTCACGGGCACGATCACTTCTAGCGGCACATTTCTGAGACGGAATGGGTCTGTCCCGGATCTTTTCTTCAATCCTGGATTTCGTAGGGCTCCAGGACTGAATTTTTTTCCAAGCCGCTAACACTCTACTGGTACCTTCTCGATGTAAGGTCTGTTCATATGGTGTTCTGCAGACTGTCTCATCTAATGGGCTCAAGTGTCCTTGAACATCCCCGTATACTTCAAAGTAGGACCATGAAGCCGAAGAAGAGGATAACCTAACTTTCTTCAAATGAGAAGCCTTTTCCGTTCGTAGACAGCACTTAATAGATGATAACAAAATAAAAGAATGGATCCGTTTAGCGGCAGGGATTGGCATAAATTTGGGCATTTGACTGCAACTGGAGAGATGTCGATGAGTAATTCGATCCATGGAGCTGATGCCCTGCCTTGATAAAAAATCTATTTCTGGCGTATTACATTGAGCTTTACAGTGATTGCGCATTCTAGGCTCCACATACCTTCCGCAGCCGCTCAAACACAGATTAACTCTTACGTGGCAGATGAGAAGACATCTCGAATGAGCTAGAGAGGAGCTAGACAGAAACATAGATGTAGGCTAAAAGCTGCGAGTTGCATGCTTTCATGAGAATGTCTAACAGTTCTCAAACAAACGAATACAAATCTCAAATTAGACTGTGATAGAATGACAGGAACCAGAACATATGATCCTCTTCCAGTGTACAAACATTGCAGCGCCCTATCTCACGTGGCTTCGCAGAAGTGCAGCCTTCGCTTACAGAATGTAATGTCACACTCCTGGACCATCTAGTCGGGGAGAGAGAGGCACGACAGCACGTTCGAGTAAAATAATAAGGGCAGAACCAACACAAGGTGGAGAAGGGAGCTTGGAATTGTGTCTACACCTACAGAACAATGAATTGGTTTCACAACTAGAGAACAACAAAGTGAGAAAATGGACAGAGTTCTCACTCACGTGACCCACAAGTCCTTGGATTCTAATAAAGACTACTAGGATCTACTAAAGTTACGAAACTGTAACTGAAACATATCGTGAAGCTTAAAATTCACCTAGTTTGTCAAAAACAAGAATGGACGGAGCAGACTAAAGGAATCTGAAAAATTCAACAGAAAGGAAGGACGAGACCCAATAAAGAGAGGCGCTATAGAGCAGAGCTCCACAATGAAGCATATCTGACCAAATGTATCAAAAAGCTCCTACGATTCCTGCTGTAGCCTCTGAATGTCACTAACTCTGACCTGTTAGAGTAGGGCAGCAGGTTCAGCAGCGCACAGACAGCCCCAAACCAAGCACAAGTGCATTCCCAGAATCGAGCTAACAAGCGACAACCACGTTTGGATGTCTGTACCAAATGTCGTATCTGCTTAAGCTCCGCAAACAATCACCACAATCCAACACCCCCTCCACTCCTTCAAATTGCCGCATTGAAACCGAATAGCTTGCGGATAATCTCAACAAAATCCATCCTCACAACATCCACCCATTCGAATAAAAAAACCTAAGCGCAAAAATCGCGCCGGCGTAACATCCAACACGACAAAGCACCTCCGTTCCGGGGGCACCTCCCACCACCACCAATGACAACGCGAAGGGGTGTTAAATGGGAGGCGAGACGATTGCGTTACCCAGGTGCGCAATGTGCCGTGCGCGCACGACGCAAGCGAGGTCAATAAATAATTGAGGTGACACGGCCCCCCGACCAGTTGAAGCCGTGGGGCATCAGAGTCAGGACGACGAGCCGGAAGTAAATGGGAGAGAGACCTTGATAAAGAGACCGTTAACTAAACCTTGCCACACAGAAACACTAGGCTCTAAGATTCCATCCACGTCCTCACCATGCTCGCCATGGTCGTCGCAGCCGTCTTCACACTCCTCCACGAAGTCTCTGCGGCCATCGACAACTGTGAAGCTGTAACTTATACAAGTCAGTGTCCACATTCACATCTCGGATGCGAGTGAATACCTCGAGAGATAGAAACCGGTCGACTTGTATTCCTTTTCAGGTATTGGATTTTACGATTGGAGGTTAGTTGGTGCCTTTTCAGACGTTTTCTAGCTCCTTTGGATCCAGGGCAGGAGCTTCGTGCCATCACCGCCTTACGCATATGATGATTAGGGAAGTAAGCTGGTGTCTCGAAACTGATTGAAGTTCAACATATAGCGCGTAACTGAGAGTCGGTGGTAACCGTCTTACTGTCAGCGGTACAACAACAGTATATGAAGCTAATACCTGCATTAGAGTTAGTCAATGTATTAACGAGGAAATCAGTTCAATTACTCGTTAAAAGGTTACGGAGATGGGCATCATTTCTAAGCTGTAGTTGGAAGCGTGTAACACAATGCTCGTGCGAGGAAAGACGGGTACAGAGTTTGAAGAATTGTACCACTGGCTCTCATCATGTTTACAGGAACAGTACCTCCTGTACAAGTTGAAAGCTAGTGGCACGTTACTGTCTTGTAGAAGGTGCCACCGACTCTCATTATTGAACTGTACAGGTACAGCACAAGGGACAGAGATATGGAAGAAATTCAGCTCTGAATCGTGCAGATCATAATCAGATTGAGCACATGGGGCTCTAGCGCCCTGAGCTTGTAACCAAGAGGAAAGAGAATGTCTCATTTGGAAATGCTAAGCAATTTCAGAAGATTCACTCGTGCTGAAGCAAGTAGATGAGGAGCCACGAACGTCAAGTTGCAACTCAGTGACAAGCCAGAATTTGTTTTTATTGTGGAGGTTGTTGCCTTTGCTGCCCAAAGGCATTCATTTGGTTTGCATTGAGCAGACCACTATAATTTGCCTGCCCGGCCAGCTGCTGTTGCAATGGCAAGGCCAAAGTTGAGGTGCCCTGAGCTACAGTTCCTGCCATACCCATGTTTCCAATAGAATTTCCAAGAGAGCCACCCATGCTGTTGCCCAAAGTGTTGCCCATTGCGTTAGCCAAATTGTTGCCTAGAGGGTTGCCCATGCCGCTACCTAGCGGGTTGCCCAAATTGCCGCCTAGAGTGTTACCCATACTATTGCCCATGTTGTACACTGCAGAAAAATAATGCAACAGTGACAACATAGTTAACAGGAGCCGTAAGCATGTCTTGAAGAAACCAAGTTCAGAACCTAAGAAATAAGCGCTACGTGATTTGGCGTCAAGTGTCCATCGCTTCACATGAAATTGCAAGAAGCACTTAACATAAGGAAATTAAAATTTAAGATACTTGAAATTTAAAAAGGCAGAAAGAAATAATTTGAGTGGGAAAATTACATTGTGAAGCATTTCCTGGAAGCTGCATTCACACACTTCACAAGTTAGAGTACGATATTGTAAAACATCAAGAAAATAAATCAGATAATTGCAAAGGAAGTAAATTTAAGGGTTTTCCTAGGTTCCACCTAGCAGTACACCAGACAATTCGTTAGTGTGATCTATTGGAACAATGAAAGACGTAACTCACATGAGGGACCGTCTAGTGAAGACTGCTAACCGTTAATTGAAACATTTCATTTTAGTTCAGAAAAAGTTGTGTTAAAACAAACTGGCAATTCATCTAGGAAGATAAGCCACTTACTGCATAACGTTGCTGCAAAAATGCTTGCGATTGCCCAGACTGCAGGTCCACCCCACTTTGTATAAGTGAACTAGCTCGAGTAAAATGATTTTTTTTAAAACTTTTCACAAGTCGAAATCAACGATAGAATATGCCACAAACTAACAAATTTGATTTAAAAAAGTCTCATATCCCAACAATCACAGTGACTAGTTATAAGATCAATATATCCTGAGATAGCCAAGTCTTAAACATAAATTCACCCGCGGTTCTTCATTCCTCGCAGCCAAGTGGATAAAACATCTTATCTAGTTTCTGGTGTTTGCTCAAACTAGTAGAATTTGAATGAATTTTCAATTTACAATGCTGCAAGTTATGTATAATTATCGATTCTAACTCAATCTGACCGATCAAGAGAATGCCAGGTGTGCCTACCGAGTAAACCAGAAGCTATGAATCTGAGACAAAATGTTGAAAAACTGAAAAGGAATAAAACAAAGAACTATCTTCCAAACTTCGGAAGCATACGTAAATGAAAACATATCAAAGCAATGTGAGGAGCTTGAAAAAATCAGACAAGCTGACCAATAAGCACCAAGCGCCCATGTTACGATGCATACCATAGCTGGGGGTAATAGAGAAGACTGATTATTCCCATACATATTGTTCATGCCCAGTTGGTTCAACTGAGAGCGTCCCTGGTTACCCTGTGCTAGTGTGTTTTGCTGAGCAGCATGTAATTGAGTAGTCTGAAGCTGATGTTGCAGCGCATGCTGCTGTTGAAGACTCTGTTGTTGCTGTTGCTGTTGTTGTGCTTGCAACTGCAGCAGGGAATGTTTGTCCTGTTATTACCAAAAAATTCACTGACTAAACCCGTAAAAGATCATCTACAAAGGATGGAATCTACAAACAATCCCATTAGAATTAACTCTAAGAAAAAAAAAAAACTCACGAAAAAGTTAGCTTTAAAGGAGCAAACCAACCTGCTGAGCCTGGTAGTGCTGTTGCTGCTGCTGCTGCTGCTGCTGAAGCTGTTGCTGCAACTGATTCTGCATTTTAAGCAACATATCAAATTTTATTCCTATCCTCGATTTGATCAACTCAAATTGAAGACAACTTCATGACATACTGGTAACCACTCGACAACATGCTCAGTCCTGAAATCAAAAAAATGACAAAAAAACAAAAACAAAAACAAACAAACAAACTGAAAGATGAAAGATGAATTCAATTTGAATTGTCAAAAAGCATAAAGTTATCAGCATGCAACTTTACAGGAACTTCTTGCATCACAATGGAGAAATCAATCAATCTATCGATCTCTTGTTTCTTAAGGTTTTGAGTTTAGCGTCCGCAGAAAGAAGGAAAGCAAACCACACATGAGGCGATCTGCTGAAAAAATTAGATTAATGTTACCTGCTGCTGTAATTTGGCTTGCTGAAGCTGGAGTGAATGCTGTCCTTGTGGTTGAAGAGTTGTCTGAGTCTGCAAGTATGAAAACAATTTAGCGATGTCAACACTCTCTCCTACTAAGTTGCAAGGGAAAAGGAAAATATGAGTTTATGAAATGAAACTAATTCCCTTAACAAAACAATCCTGTACCTAGTCTTTTGCATTCCCATGTATGTGGTGTGCAATCTACAACTGTCTGCAAAGTTATTTTCCGCAATAAATGAATCCAACACGGAAATACATAGATATGAACTCGATTGAAGAAAATGAGCTCACCTGAGGAATTGGAGGTGTGCCTGGACGGCGAAGTTGCTGACCCTGTTGGGCCTGCAGTGCCTGTTGCTGCTGCTTTTGCAGCTGCTGGATCCTCTGTTGCCTTATAATAGCTTGTTGCTGTTGCTGTAAAAGAAGAATAACCAAGACTAGTTTGTGAATGCAATTTCACCTCTCAGAATTAAGTATCAAAAGTCCATATGGCACACTTAACCATCTTTTTTGGTCGGCAAACAAAGCAAAAAAAATCGCAAAAGGTAATACAGAAACTCAAAAAGGTTATCCATTAAATCTAACTCATAAATTTAGGTATGGAGTTTTCTTCAACCTGGTTTTGAAGTTGCTGAGGGGATGGAACGTTGAAATTTGCTGTTGAAGACCTAGGGGAATTGACGTAGGGAATGGTTGTGGCGGCTGTTCCACCAGGAAGAGAAACAGCTCCCCCAAGGGCTTGCATAGAGACTCCAATATTTGAACGAGGTAGAACTTGAGAAGAATTGATCTGCTTGATTAACACAGGAAGAACACAAAATACAGGATCACCAAATCAAACCGCAAGTTGAGGATTTCTCATTCTAGGAGGAGGAAACATGTACCTAAGTAGTTTGGACTTCCATCAGGGATATGTTGCGTTTACTGATCATTCTAAATACATTTAACTAATGCTTCTTCAGACATATTCAATCAAAACAGACCCAGAATAGCATTAAGCATGAGAACAAAAGGCAGATAAGACTTCTATCAATTGAAATGAAAGGTTCTAAAAGATTTGACTCGGACCTGCTGTTGGGGTGCTGCTGGGCGTAAAAGCCCACTGGGTGGTAGGGCAGATGATGAACCCCTTGGAAAACTGGAACCTGCCATGTATAATCACAGTTCAGTGCACTTTCAAAGGCAGAAATATACTAGCAAGGAGACAATTAATAACATTCATGAAACATTTGTTAAACTTCTGTCGCTGAGAATCGTTTCATCAGAAAGGCATGCTTCTTTTACATTAGCTGCTTGCGCATACCTTCATAGTTATGCAAAAGCAATATCATGGCCAAAATATGTTTTGAAGAGAAGTAATAGGGTGAGCGAAAACAACCTGTGTCAATTGCAGACGTTCCTAAAGCAGATGACAAATGTGGTGGCAACATTGCCGGTGCTTGCTGTTGGTCGGGTGAAATTCGAAGACCTGATAGTATACCACAATAAAATACAGACACAGCCGTAAGCACAAAGCTATGTTTTCCCTACAACTCTGATCTATGAATCAATTTTAAATTAGCGTCCCCCCTAGAGTAGCTCTTACTCACCGTCTCCAGAATTAGAGGCAGCACGAAGAAGATTTTCTTGTTCTGCGATTCGCGCTGCATGATTCTTGTCAACAGTAGCAAGAGCCACGGGGCCTTGCCGAGAGCTCAGCCCGTACACCTTACGAGCTTCTCCAAGCACTTTCTCAGCACCATCGCACACTGATCGGACTAACTCAATTTGCCTCTGAGAATACCAACCCATAATAAAAACAAGTTAATGGAAGAGAAAAAAATAAAATAAATAAATAAATAAAGAAGATAAAAAGATAAAAAGGTAAAGAATGATAAAGACAGGGACACTTAGCGAGAACAAACTAAAAGAACCAGCAACATAAAAACTGTTTATATCAACGATGGATCGCTCAGGCAAATGGAAAAAAAACATTCGCATGTTGAAATTTACTGGAAAATCCAACAAAAGAAAAGGCTGGCAAAAAACTTCAAACCTGGATCTTTTCAGTCTGCATTTGAACAGGCAAGTTGGACATGCCTGCTAACAATTTATCTTTAAGAACTGCTTCCTCAGACTCCATCTCCGGCAGTAGCTTCGAGGAAAGCATGATGGGCAGAACTGTAAACGGAGGTAAAATAAACATCAAAAATCTTTTTCAATCACACAAGGCCTTGCAAAGACGTTCCACAACGACACAGATTGTTTAGCCGGTTACAATGATTCGCCGCTTAACCATCCAGAATCGTACCAAGATCTCAACATAACCAACCCGACCTTCTGTAACATATATAAGCCTTGGCGTTGAGTCTAAACACTGGTTCCTAAACAGCGTTTAACGACAGTAAAGCTCATGTCACAGCCGACTGACGCCACGTACGAAAGTCATACAGGGCTGCAGTAAAATTACTTGTCGCATTCTCTGCATTAACGTTTTTTGGATAAACCACAAACGCTTTCAGAATGGGTTTAATATCCTCCACCAAATTCAGCAACTCAACGTTTACCATAGCAAATTGCCCCAATACCTCAGACCTGCAGACATCAAATATAGGTGCTGTTACAATTTAGATCTCAACATATGCCACAATATGCACTCATAGAGTAGCTAGATGAAATTGGCATGGCTTCACAAAATAAACTATGGTGTTATGAAATTCAGACGATTGCGAACAAAAACAAGCAGAGGCATCTACCATTTCAAAGCGGGAAGGGTGTGAAATGAGTGCAAGATGCGGGATATAGCATTGTGCAAGTCTTGCGTGCGTGTCCGCAACGATGCCAAATTTAGCTGCTGCAATACCGGGGCCATATCTGTCCTCTGAGCTGCTTGCCCTGGAGCGGCAGCGACAGCCGCCTGGACTTGCCCACCAGGGGCCGCCATCACCTCCTCAGATAGACTGTAAAAGAAGGAACTAAGCAAGAGCAAAACATCAATATCCAAATAAATATCTAGAACGATGTAGATACCTGAGTAGGTGCATGTTTAACTGTATGAGAGTATTGCTATGATGAAGTGCATCTTATCCCTCCTACATGAGTTTTGTAGGTTGTCGGATTGGTCTTAATGTGTTTATGATTGCCACCATACAATTCAAGAGTCCAATATTGCTGTTAATCATGTTTGTCATTGCTCCTACACATAATGCAGCAAAAGTAAAATGAACGTGTCTAACGGAAAAGATGGCTTGTGTAGTCAGTTTTCGTGGGAATATCTGTGCACGGCTACCTAGTACAACGAGTGCTGCTATTTGACATTATGACCCGGCAAACAAGCACAATTAGGACTAAGCTTCCAGCCTCAAGACACTTCTCGTCCAGTCAAATTGCCTATCAAATGTTATCGTCAAGTTTCCATTGAACTACCTAAAAAGCGACGGATGTTATTCCAACTCATTCGCAGAATATGAACAAAAGTATTTCTTTCTTAAACGCAATTAATGGTGTATTTAAATATTGGTGATATTGAGCTTTAGTTCGCCAAGGCAAGCAAAAAACAAAAAAATCCAACTCAACAAGTTCATTTAGTAGCCAAAGAGATTCGGCAAACATCCCAAGAACTTTCAAGAAAAACGAGGCACTTGAGTTCCCCAAAAACCATCACTGGCTCCCACCACTGCTAAAAAATCCGCAAAACGCGACCCAAAACTCACAAACGATTACTTACTCAAAACGCAACAAGGGCAGCAGGCAGGCAGCATATACACAATGCCAAATCACCGACGTGCAGACAAGGCCATACCAGAAGATCCGCCACCGAACACCAGCTTAGCAGCCGCAAGTTCCACCTAAGGATCACCCCCACCAGCACCCTCTTCTCTCACGATCCCGCCTACAGCCAATTATGAATTAGTCGCAAGCACCTATCAGGTCCATGCTTCGCTATTCCTGACTCTCCATTAACATTAGGTTGAACAGAAACATTCGCCTTCCAATTGCGGCTTTCCGCAAGCAACTGCTCTCCTTCCGCATGGCCCGAAACTCTCCAGCTACGAATCGGCAACAATGAAATTAAATCCAAGTGGAAGAGTGACCCTAACCTAGGAGCACTTCACAAAGGCCACGGATCTCGCTCTTCTTACTTCCACGAACAGGGAAAGGGAAATGAGCGGGTATGAAGAGGAGCAAACGTCCGAGGGGGGCGGGAGGGCGATGGCAGTGACGATGGCGTCAGGGCTACCACTCTTACGGCCTTCGACGCTCTGATTCCGGTGCGACAACAACGAGCCTTGAAAGCCCGACGCCAACAAGCATGGAGAACAGTTCCGTGAAGAATCGGCGTCGGGCTCACAACCATACAATGACGGCGTCAGCGCGGGGATTCGTTCGCTCGCTCGCACTGATGGACAGGCGTCGCCTCACCTCTCCATATTTCAAATATTAACAATAATAGGGGAATGTTAAATAGACCCATACCTTTACTAAATAGATCTGTTCTCAATCAAGAATATGGTGATCATGATCAATTTGGTTGGTTTTTTATTGGTTGCAGGTCCAATTGTGGAGAAATGAATCCAGAGGTCATTTTTTTCTTCATGATGGTTAGGTTTGGTGGGTCCATTAGGTGAAAACTTGGGTATATTTAACATTTCCCTAATAATAAGTATAATCTCCAATATACTGAGATGAAAATTGACAGAAATTATTCTATGCACCTATGCTCTTTATTAGATATTCTCATGATGTGAAGGTTTTAGAATGCATTGTTAGGCAATTCTATATTCTTGTATAGTGTGATTAGATCTTATATTTGAATCTAAATATTTGTGGTTTAGAAATTATCAAATACAAAATGTAAGTGTGCATATGGTTGTAAATATTATATATATATATATATATATATATATATATCAATTATTGTAAGTTTGATAATTTTTTAGATTAATAGAAAGCTTTTTTACCATATTTTTATGTTTTACGATGAGAAAATAATCTCATGTTTTTGACACATATGTAATCAACTTCAGGTATGTTTGTATTTAAATTTTAGAACGTGTGAATTATGAATTTTTGGGTGAAAATTTGAAAAAGTGAGTTTGAGTAACATGACATGGAATTTATAGGATTTTTTATTACAGGCCATAACATTAAAAAAATTCCAACAAAATAGATATAAAGGTAATCCCAAAATAGAACTTGTATACTATTAAAGAATTATCTAATTTTCTTAAAATAAGGATCCATTTAAAAAAGTATAAAACTATTCCTTGTTAATCATAAAATAATATTGATTTATATAGATTTTATAAATATAAATTAAAATACAAAAATATAAAACCAATAAAAACTATATTTTATGATATGTGATAATTCTAGTCTATGGAACTAATACTATCATTGTTAAACATTCTTATTCTATTTTTAAAAACTTATGTAATAAATTTAATTATTATTGTAGATATTATTACTATTATTTCCATAAAAAATAAAAATACATCAATACTACATCAAAATCAAAATACTGATTGTCTTTATATTAACTTAAAGCATAAAGCATAAATAATAATAATAATAATAATAATAAATAAAGGTATCATAGAACACTAGTATTTTATAAATTTAAATTCAATTTTTTTATTTTTATCTAATTTTGAATAAATATTATTTTTTAAATATATATATATATATATATATATATATCTACATAAATATATAATAGAAAAATGGATAATTAATTGTCAAGTATTTATATATATATATATATATATATATATATATGTATATATAATTTAGAATCTCATATGTTATTGAATGATAATTGAATATATTTCATAATTCAGAACCTCATATGTTATTCATATGATCTCTGTAATTCATATTCATATGAGATTCAATATTATATTCAATTATCATTCAATAACATATGAGATTCATTATATATTTCATAATTTAGAATCTCATATGAGATCTCATATGTTATTGATTCAAAATATTCTATCTATATATTTGGTTAAAACATTATATATCATTATTTAAAATATTGCATTAATTAAATTTCAAAGAATATTTTTTTTATTCAATTTTTAAATTTTTTGTAGAATTTAAATCAATAAAGGACTAAAAAATAATAATTTATTTTTATTTTGATACAATCACAATTTAAGATTTTATAATGAATTAAAAATTAATAAAAATCATGATGCTATTCTTTTTAATAAAATAATCTTTTTAAAAAACTATTCAACTAATTTACTTAAATTCACCATTTTATTTTATTATTCGGCAGTCTGATGTTTTATATGGTTGGTTCTTTTCGCATTAAATTAAAGATCCAAAAATATTACAAATAAAATTAAGATGTTCATTTATTTCTATTATTATTAATTTTAGATTCATGTACTACAACATATGCAACATTCAAAGAATTTAATAGCTGAAGTGTTGTGAAAAAATCTATTGAAGTAAAAAATTCTATTAATAATATATAAAATTTAAAGAAGTCTTATAAATAATGTTAATATATTTTTAAAATGAGACATGTATAACATGAGAATGCAAACTCTTTAGAGAATTTTACAAATATGACCTTTAAATAATAAATTTATTATTTAAAAAAATTAAAATTAAAGATAAAATAAAATAAATATTTAACTTCTTTTAGTTAAAGACTATTTTTGTAAAAGATAGAGTCATCTATATTCAATAAAATATTCTTTTATAAACATGTTCTTATTTGCATCTTAATTTATAAATAAACTATAAATTTTAAAGATTTACTTTTATTGTACACCTGTTTTTAGACTTATTTATAAATACCAAGTGTATAAAATGAGAAAAATATTTAATTTTTTTAATACATATATATATATATATATATACATAAGATGTCTATATATATATAAAATATGTCTGTATTTTATGAAGTTGACAATTTTATAATACTTTAAGTTACTAAATCTACTATTAAGTCTTTATCAAAAACATAATGACAACAGTAATAAAATCTAATTATGATCGGTTGATATAATGTATATATATATATATATATATATATATATGAAATATTTAATGAAAATTCTTTGGTTTACAAGCAAAGTACAAAACAAATATCAAAAGTTTTAGAAGATTGAAATCTAAAAAAAAAAAAAATGAAATAGAAAAAGTCTCAGGTTTGATGCAAATTTTTTTTAAAAATAAAATTTATTTAAAAAAAACTAATTCATTTTTATTTATGGTTTTTTATGAATAAATATCAATATTTTGTGTAAAAATATAATTTTTTTTATTTTAATACATAGTTTTTTAAGATTCAATGAAACTTTAAAAATATTTATATACAAATTATTAATTTAAGTTATATTATTCATGAAAAAAAATTCAAAAAGATTTATAGTAATATTTTAAAATAATATTATTATTACATACATAATATTTAGATTATCATAATTCAATAGAATTTAAAATTTTATATTATTCAATATCCAAAGTATTATTCATGATTTCTAAAATGAAGTATCAATTTCTTGTATCAATGTATTAAAAATTATATATAATTATTATAAAAAGTATTTAGATAATAGTAATGTAATCTTCTTTTTAATTTATTTTTGGCATTTATAGTAATATGGATTTGTATATTTTTATAGATATGGATTATTTTGTATAATGCTAAATTTTTATTTAAACCTTTTAAGTATTTAGAAAGTTTCTTGCATATTAATCATATAGCTATTATTTTTGAATACTTGTATAAATAGTTATTTTTATTAATCTATACAAAATTAGATATGCAATTAAATTTCAAACACCTAATAGACCAATAGTTTTCAATCTCCAACTTGGGCCATAAGTTTTCCATTATCTAGATTGCTAAATGTTAACTCCTACATATATTTAAGCCTTGAAACATTTGGCAAGAGGTAGAGCCAATTGTCTTCATGAAATATGCTCAATTTTAGCTTCTTTCTTATATTGGCAAAAAAAGAGGTGCCTATGATTTTTTTCCTACCTACTTGAGAACCACCAAGATCCTCTCATATATAGATGATGTTGCTAACCATGTACATCAAGACATGGTCAAGGTATTAGTACATAGTAAAGATATCATACATAGTCAGGATATCAAAATACATTGAAAATATCAAAGTATTATGTTTGAAGTATAGTTTGAATAAAGAATAAATTTAGAATCTATGCAAAAAGGTACTTCAAATACATCACCTTTATATTATATATATATATATATATATATATATATAATATAATAAAGATAATTTACTTATATACTATTGGACTAAGATTTTAACATGGTTTTAAAGCAAGAATAATGAGTTTGTGAGAATTACCTTATAATTACATGAGAGTAATTGCTTTAAGCATATATAATTGATGAGTATTTCTTGAAGATTAGAAAATGTTGAATGATCTCTTGTAGGTTGGTAAAGCTAATAAATTAATTGACAAAAGACAAGTATTACATATGAAGCTTAAAGATGAAGATTTTTTTATGAGCCAAAAGTCTTCAAGATCACACCATTAAGAAGCTCATACCAATAATATATCCATGCACATACAATAGGCGTACATTATTAGAGATTTAATTATCTGAGATGAAAGCAAATATTATAAAAAATACTAATATTTATTGTAAAAGATTATCTTATCAATATAATGACAAAGCATGAAGATTTTAAAGATGTATGGATGGCATTTAAATAAAAATATGAAGTAGAAATCCTACTATGGTATTTAATCATAATTATAAACTATCTTCATTGAAAATTTGAAACTTAACTTCTATTGAAGAATTTTTGAAGACATCACAAGAAATCAAGAATCATCTTGCAATACTTGGTGAAAAAGTTCTAATCAAGATTCTTATGCAAACTATCTTCAATGGTTTTTTTTTCCATCTTTTTTTAAAAAAAAGAAATAACAAAGAACTTCCATTCTAAAGAAGATATGCATTAAATTTAATATTGTATTTATAAAAAATCAAATTATATGGCCAAAGATTGTAGATTAAAAAAACTACCACCAAATATTAATAAATCCATTGCTAGTAGCATTAAAGCTAAAGTTACTTCATCAAGTAGATAAAAGTAGATTAATATCATAATATCTTATAGACAGGATTTTTAAAAGTGTCATAGATGCAACTTTGATTTTACATATATTTGTAGTTAATTGATAGGTTAAAAACTTTTTCAATAAATTAGCCATGTATCACACGTATTAGTAGCTTATAGAATAAGTTAATTATATGGTCTATATATAAATAACTTATCTTATAAATTAAAACATGTATCTAGCAAAGTCAACATGTGTTGGAGGTTCAAAAGCAAAT